GAAAGAAAGAAAGAAAGAAAGAAAGAAAGAAAGAAAGAAAGAAAGAAAGAAAGAAAGAAGAAAGAAAGAAAGAAAGAAAAAACAAATGAGATAAACCAGAACGTCTAAAATTAAAAAGATTGTCCATACCAAGTATTGGTAAAGACGTGGAGTAACCAGAACTCTCATACATTTCTGGTTAGGATGGAAATTTGTGCACTTACTTTGGGAGTATCTAAAGCCAAACATATGCATACCCTATTGACTCAGGAAATCCATGTCTAGTATATATGTGTTATGGCCTGAGAGAGGCTTCAGTAAAAACCAAACCTGCCAACACCTTGATCTTGGAATTTTAGTGTTCAAAACTGTGAGAAAACACATTCCTGTTATTTAATCCACCCAGTCTCTGTGGCATACTGTTACAGCAGCCCTAGTGGACTAATACAGTAGCCAAAAGTAGTGTGCACATATTTCACAAAAGACATGTAATTATTTAATCCATGTGGAGTGTCAAAAGACAAAAATACAACAAATGTACTTTAAAGATTATAATTGCCTTCTATACATGATTCTAGAATCAGATAGCCCTCAGAATCAAATACAGAACAGCAGCCAGCAACATAGTATGGATAGAAAATGGAAGTGAGGTTTAGAGACAGCTTAATTGATTACAGTTTGACACTTTGTCTTATTTGAAGCTGTTGGTTGCCTGCAGTTGATGGAAGTTCAACAACTATAATCGGCTGAGACTAAGCTGTTTGTTACAAAAGCATATTCCTAAATTAGGCTTTGAGTTAGTTCATCAACTAAGCCAGGCTACGCTTTGTTGTGCAAGGACTCAAGTGCAGAGGTACCCTTAGGACTAATTCAAATTAATTTAACAGGAGTTTACTTTTATTAGTTATGTGAAATGAAGTAGAATCTGTTTTTGCAAGTGGATAGTCATATTTATTATCATTTACCAAATAGCTCATTTTTCCCTGTAATGGTTGGAGATGGTGCCTTTATTATGTGTTAAATTTCCGCTTACATCTTGTCAATTTCTGGATTCTATATTCTGCTTGATACATTTATCTATTCTGCATTAAGACTGCATTTTTAATTATAATAGCTTTATAATATATCTTAAGGCTGTACAGGAAAAAATCTTCAATTATTAATTAGTTATACTAAGCCAATGTCTGAGTATTGCTTAGTGGTTTGTGGGCAACCATCTTACACAGTACCTAGTAACAGGGTAGACAAGTGTTTATTGAATGGATGGATCAATAGATGTGTGGAAGAGGCTTTCATAAACAATTCCCTTTATAAAGGAAGGCCAATGTTACTTTTGCTTAGCTCTTTGGTTTGAGCTAATTTAAAATATACAGAAAATTACAAGAATAATACAGGGAACTTGTACATACCCTTTGCCCAGATTCACCAATGTTTAACATTTTGCAATTTTGTTTTTCATTTTATTTTCTCTATATACACACTTTTGTTACTTTTCTATGTGAAAATGGGTTGCAGACATCACACCCCTTTACCTTTCAACACTTTAGTACACATTTCCTGTGAATAAAGATATTCTTTTACACAACCAGCGTGATGTTATGAAATTGATAAAAATATTTCTGTAATTTATAGCTGGTATTCCAGTTATATTAACCAATGCTGTCATTTACAGCATTTATTCCCTGCAGTACAGAGATCTAGTACAAGGAACTACTTGTCCTGCTTCTTTCATTTCCTTGAATCTGGACCTTGATCAGATGGTAACTTGAAGCACTCAGGTTTTTTTTTTCTTCTGGTTTCTCCTCTGTGTAGTTACTATTTTCTCCCTTGCAACTAATAAACAGTTTGAAGGGATATACTTTGAGACCATGCAAACATCCTGTTCCTTATCAAACTGCCTCCCATATAACATCCAAATTAATCTTTATCATGAGGTTTCTGACTCTCTCCTCACATTGGGATTGGAACCCAGATGATTAATAACAATCTGCTTTGTTGGAATATATGATATGTCTTCCTGGGAATAAGATAATGGGCATAACATACAATAATTCCTAACTGTATATGGCAATCACAATCCACAATACTAAATCCGTGATATGACTAACCTCTTTTTCCCCATTGTTTTTGCAGGCATCAATGGCTATGTTTTTGATAGTTTGCAGTTGTCGGTTTGCTTGCATGAGGTGGCATACTGGTACATTCTAAGCATTGGAGCACAGACTGACTTCCTTTCTGTCTTCTTCTCTGGATATACCTTCAAACACAAAATGGTCTATGAAGACACACTTACCCTATTCCCATTCTCGGGAGAAACTGTTTTCATGTCAATGGAAAACCCAGGTTAGTTACGTATATTATTATTTTAACAACAGCTGCGAATGCTTCACTAGCCATTCATATGCTCTTTTGCCCACTAGCTCCCATTTGGGCAGATATGAAATGGTTCAAGTGATTTTGGCTATTGCAAGGCATTTTTTTGAGTATTTATTTATTTATTTATTTTTATTATACTTAAAATTCTGGGGTACATGTGCAGATCATGCCGGATAGGCATTTTAATGACAGCACCACTCAATTATTTAACTTAAAAGTCTTTGCTCTAAAAGTGTCTTCACATGCCAAGGACCAATTTTTACAATTTTTATGGATACATAATTGTGCATATTTAGGGGGTACCTGTGATATTTTCATATAAGTATACAATGTGTAATGATCAAATTAGGGTAACTGGGATATTTATCACCTCAAAAACTTATCATTTGTGTTAGGAAGATTCCAATTCCACTCTTCTAGTTATTTTGAATTACACAATATATTATTGTTAAGTACAGTCACCCTACTGTCATATTGAACACTGCAACTTACCCCTTCTATTTAAGTGTAATTTTATACCTATTACTCAACCTCTCTTCATTCCACTGAATCCCCCATACCCTTCCCAAACTTTGTTAAGCACTATTCTACTCTCTGTCTCTGTGAGATCCATTTTTTAAGCTCTCACATGTAAGTGAAAACATGTGATATTTGTCTTTTATGCCTGGCTTATTTCACTTAACATAATGATATCCAGGTTCATCCATGTTGCCACAAATGATGGGATTTCATTCTTTTTAATGGCTAAGTAATATTCTATTTGTGTATTTATACCACACTGTCTTTATTCATTCATCTGTTGATGTATACTTAGGTTAATTTTATATCCTAACTACTGTGAATGTTGCTGTAATAAACGTTGGTGTGCAACTATCTCTTTGATACGTCGATTTCCTGTCTTTGGATATATATCCAGCAGTGGGATTGCTGGATCACCTGGTAGTTTTATTTTTAGTTTTTTGGAAAACCTCCTTACTCTTTTCCATAGTATCTGTACTAATTTACACTCCCACCAACAGTATACGAGCATTCCCCTTTTGCCACATCCTCACCAGCATTCATTATTATTTTTTTTTTGTCTTTTTGATAAAAGCCATTTAACTGGAGTGAAATATCTCATTGTGCTTTTGGTTTGCATTTCTCTCGTAATTAGTCATGTTGAGCAGTTTTTCATATACCTGTTGGCCATTTGTTTGTCTTCTTTTAAGAAATGTCTATTCAGAACTTTGTTCATTTTTAATAGGATTCTTTTTTTTTTTTGGTAGTAACTTTCTTATAATTCTGGTTATTAATACCCTCTCGGTTGTATAGTTTGCAAATACTTCATCACATCCTATAGATTGTCTCTTCACTTTGTTAATTGTTTCCTTTGCTGTGCAGAAGCTTTATGGTTTGATATAATCCCACTTGTCTATTTTTTGCTTTAGTCACTTGTTCTTTTGAGGTCTTACCTGCAAAATCTTTCCCAGACCAATGTCCTGGAGCATTCCCCCAATGTTTTCTTCCAGTAGTTTTATAGTTTCAAGTTTTATATTTAAGTATAAATATAATCCAATCCATTTTGATTTGATTTTTGTATATAGTGAGAGATAGGGGTCTAGTTTCATTCTTCTGCATGTGGATATCCAGTTTTCCCACACCATTTATTGAAGAGGCTATTCGTTCACCAGTGCATGTTCTTGATAATTTTGTCAAAAATGAGTTGGCTATAAATGTGTGGATTTATTTCTGAGTTCTCTGTTGTGTTACACTGGCATATGTTTCTGGTTTTATGACAGTACCATGCTGTTTTAGTTACCGCAGCTTTGCGGTATAGTTTGAGGTCAAGTAGTGTCATGCTTCCAGCTTTGTTCTTTTTGCTCAGAACTGCTTTGGCTCTTTGGAATCTTTTGTTATTCCATACAAATTTTAAAATTCTTTTTTCTATTTTTGTGAATAACTTCATTGGTATTTGGATAGGCATTACATTAAATCTGGTAGCACTGATATTTTAACAATGTTAGTGTTTTCAGCTCATGAACATAGGATAGATACCTTTTCATTTTTTCTATGTCTTCTTCAATTCCCTTTATCAGTATTTTAGTTTTCATTATAGAAATATCTCAGCTCTTTGATTAAATTTATTCCTAGATATTTAATTTATTTTTATTGTAGTTATTGTAAATGATTTTTTAAAATTTCTTTTTCAGGTCATTAACTCTTGGTATATAGAAATGCTACTGATTTTTGCATGTTGGTTTTGTATCCTGCAACTTTACTGAATTTGTTTATCAGTTTTAATAGTTTTTTGGTGGAGTCTTTAGTTTTTTTCAAAACATAAGATTATGTCATCTATAAACAAGGAGAATTTGACTTTTTCCTTTCCAATTTGGAGACCCTTTATTTCTTTCTCTTGCTTACTTGTTCTGGCTTGGACTTCTAGGACTACATTTAATAGAATTAGTGAAAGTGGGTGTCCTTATCGTGTTCCAGATCTTAGAGGAAAGGTTTTCAGTTTTCCACATTCAGTATAATATTAGCCATGGTTTGTCATATACGGCCTTTATTGTTTTGAGGTATGCTTTCTATACCCACTTTGTTGAGAGTTTTATCATGAAGGGATGTTGAATTTAATATGTTTTGGCATCAATTGAAATGATCATATGTTTTTGTCCTTCATTCTGTTGATACAATGTGTCACATTGATTCATTTCCATATTTTGAACATCCTTGCATCCCTGGGATGAATCCCCCTTGATCATGATGAATGATCTTTTACTGTATTGTTGAATGGCATTTGCTAGTATTTTGCTGAGGATTTTTACATCAATGTTCATCAGAGATATTGGCCTGTAGTTTCTGTGTGTGTGTGTGTGTGTGTGTGTGTGTGTGTGTGTGTCTGGTTTGATTTCAGGGTAATACTGGCCTTGTGGAATGAGTCTGGAAGTATTTACTCCTTGTTTTTTTTTGGGATAGCTTGTGGATAGTTGGTATTAGTTCTTTTTTTTTTTTAAGAAAAATGTTTGGTGGAATTCAGCAATGAAGCCATCAGGTCCTGGGCTTCTCTTTGTCGAGAGACTTTTTATTTTTATTTTTTAATTTTTTTCTCTTTATTTATTTTATTGCATTTTAGGTTTTGGGATACATGTGAAGAACATGCAAAATTGTTGCATAGGTACACATGTGGCAGTGTGATTTGCTGCCTTCCTCCCCATCACCTACATCTGGCATCTCTCCCCCTGCCATCTCTCCCCAACTCCCCTCCCCCCACCGTCCCTCCCCTACTGCCCCCCAACTGACCCCAGTGTGTAGTGCTCCCCTCCCTGTGTCCATGTGTTCTCATTGTTCAACTCCCGCCTATGAGTAAGTACATGCATATGGAACCAAAAGAGAGCTCGCATAGCCAAGTCAATTCTAAGCAAAAAGAACAAAGCAGGAGGCATCACACTACTGGACTTCAAACTATACTACAAAGCTACAGTAATCAAAACAGCATGGTACTGGTACCAAAACAGAGCTATAGACCAATGGAACAGAACAGAGGTCTCGGAGGCAACACAGCATATCTACAACCATCTGATCTTTGACAAAAACAAGCAATGGGGAAAGGATTCCCTGTTTAATAAATGGGGTTGGGAAAACTGGCTAGCCATGTGCAGAAAGCAGAAACTGGACCCCTTCCTGACACCTTACACTAAAATTAACTCCAGATGGATTAAAGACGTAAACATAAGACCTAACACCATAAAAACCCTAGAAGAAAATCTAGGCAAAACCATTCAGGACATAGGCATAAGCAAGGACTTCATGACCAAAACACCAAAAGCATTGACAACAAAAGCCAAAAAAGAGACTTTTTATTACTATTTATATCTCATAACTTGTTATTAATCTATTCAAGTTTTGTATTTCTTTCTTTCTTTCTTTTGATTTTTGAGGCAGAGTCTCATTCTGTCATCCAGGCTGGAGGGTGGTTGGTCTCAGCTCCCTGCAACCTCCACCTCCCAGGTTCAAGTTATTCTTGTGCCTCAGCTTCCCAAGTAGCTGGGATTACAGGTGTGTGCCACCACACCTGGCTAATTTTTGAATTTTTAGTAGAGACGGGATTTTGCCATGATGGCCAGGCTGGTCTCGAACTCCTGGCCTCAAGTTATCTGCCTGCCTTGGCCTCCCAAAGTGCTGGGATTACAGGCATGAGCCATTGCGCCTGGCCCAAGGTCTATATTTCTTATGTTCGATCTTGTTAAGTTGTATATGTATAGAAATTTATTCATTTCTTCTACATTTTCCAATTTATTGGCATATATATCCTCATAGTCAATTCTAATGATCCTTTGAATTTCCATGGCATCAGTTGTAATGTCTACTTTTTTGTCTGTGATTTTAATTATTTCTGTCTTACCTTTTCCTTTTCTTAGTCTGACTAGAGGTTTCTCAATTTTGTTTATCTTTTCTAAAAACCAACTTTTCATTTCATTGATCATTTTAACTGTTATTTTAGTTTCAATTTCCTTTATTTCTGCTCTCATTTTTATTATTTCTTTCCTTCTACTAGTTATGAATTTGGTTTGATCTTGTTTTTCAAGTTCTTTAAAATGCATCATTATGTTGTTTATTTGAGGTCTTTCTACTTTTTTGATGTAGGCATTTATTGTTACAAATTTTCCTTTACTCCTGCTTTATAGGTTTTGGTATGTTGTATTTCCACTTTCATTTGTTTTAAAAAATTTAAATTTTCTTCCTAATTTCTTCATTGACCCAGTGGTCATTCAGAAGCATGTTATTTAATTTCCATGTATTCATATAGTTTCCAAAGTTCCTCTCGTTATTGATTTCAAGTTTTATCCCATTGAGATCAGTAAAGATACTGGATATGATTTCATTTTGGGGGAATATTTTTAATTGTTTTGTGGCCTAATATGTGATCTGTCATTGAGAATGTTCCATATACGGAGGAGAAAAAAAAAGTGTATTCTGTGGTTGTTGGA